CCCCAAAACCCCAAAACCCCAAAACCCCAAAACCCCAAAACCCCAAAACCCCAATAAACTTTTAAAATTTTGAATTTATTTTTACCTTACAAAAATTATGAATTACGAGCTAGGAGTAGAAATTACGCTAATCTCTAGGAATACAAGGAAAGGCCCAAATCTCGGCAAAGCAAGCATCTCAAAAAGGTAATTAAGAGTAGATCATCTGTAGACAAAATATTCTGTGCCACCAAAATACAAGAATGGTATGCCTTAATGATTATTTAGAAGCAGAGAGGTCGGATAACATTCGTCGTGGTAGCTCTCAAAACAGCCATAAAGCCTTGAAGCCATGCAAGTATGTGCTCCTCAAATAATTTTAGCTCAAATCTGACGATTCCACATCCAAATACTTACTTGATTGTCAAAAGAAGTCGGAAAAGTATGGTGTCCAAAGATGATTCTCTAGAGCCCTCAGATGCCAAACTTCAAAAGATGCAGGCAAGGATCATCGACCTGACCAACAAGAACATCAGGCTCAAGAACAAAGTCTCTGTTCTTGAGAACAAGCTGAGAAAGTCCAAAGTTAGGAAGAAAGGGAAAGTATATATTTTCGATCAATCGTACTCACTTCAGACTGTTGAAAATAAGGAGAATATCTCATTAATGTAATCTCAGAACTCATGCATAGGAACCAGAGAGAGGTCAATGTCGAGAGCCTTAATGAATCAACCATACAGAATATTGGGCAGGGCCCTCCCTCCCTGTTTAACAATGACTCTAAGAGTAAGACTATCCTAAATCCTGTAGAGAATAGTAGATGCACCAGCCAGCATAAAACCTTTGAGCAGGAGAGTAATGTCTATGAGGACATCTCGTACCTTGAGAACCTGGAAAAGAGCAAAAGAGTAAGACTTAGTTCACCTTTTAGAGGTCTCACCATCACAAGCAGTCAAAGATGTAGGCTTTGTAATAATTATAGACCTAGAGGCCCAAAGATAAGGGATGATAGCTATTCCAGCAAGTCAAGCAAGACCAAGACCAAAACTGAAGGGTCCCTACAGAGCTTTGAAGCTGGGAAGCATCATTCCAGAGCTACTAAAGAATACAACAAGGAGCTTAAAAAGCTCAGAAAAGAAGTAGAGCTCCTTAAACTTGAAGGTGAGATCTATAAAATGATAATTCATAGAAAATATCAAGTCTTTTAGCAGAAGAAGCTCTAATCCAACCAAATTTGCTGCAAAATATGAACTTGAAAAGGTACTTTAACAGCTAAATAGTAGGACATTAAGGAAGAAAGGACTTGGAACTCAAACTTCAGGAAGATTATGAACGACTTGGACCAGCTTCATTCGGATGTGGACAACCTACAATTTGAAAGCACTCATGATGACGATTCTTCAGAGTATTACCAAATAATGGAAATTGAATAGACTAAGAATTTTTCAATTACCTTCACCAGACCTGGGGTTTTGGGGTTTTGGGGTTTTGGGG